ACCAGTGGATGCGACGCAGTGATACTTTCAGACAATACATTACAATTAATTACACTTATATTAATAAATTAATCTATTATGATTATTGAGCTACGATTGAAGAGGAATATATGACATGTACTCGATTTCGGTCAATGCTAAATAATTACTAACACTAACTAAGAAATAAAGTGTGCTCTATGTCATGCTACAATGTGATTTTTCAATTAACTCGCTGCCACTCGTTCTAATCTCACACACACTGCTTCACTTTCCATCCGCTTCGCTGGGGCTCATTCATTCGGCACTTGTTTCCTGCTTCAGTTCTTCGCACCGTCACATGCAACGTAAGCAGACTGCGGATTCTTGTGCGTCTGTGGGGAATTTGGAAGTGCGTTGCACAGAATGCATGTAACATGAAGAAATGTAAAATCAGTTCAGTGGTTTCTGTGACGTTTATGTAATTCTGCTTTTCTTGTTACGTTCTTGGACATTTTGATTCGCAGAGAGAACCGCAGTCTAATGATATTACTAATAACATTCTCCAGTCCATCGTTCATTGACCTATGTATATGTATATATCGCCTTAACTTAGATTACATTCGTTGAGTATTAATAAATGCTTATGTCAATACTAGTCGACGTTCGTTTTGTAAGTACAATTCAAAAGGGTACTGACTTCTATGAATATTAAGTATTACTCCTTCGTATACTGCTCGCATCTGTTTCCATTGCCCCAAAACTTAATTAATCCCTTGCCTTACAATAACGTATGAGACATATGATAAATGTTACTCGATTCTTTTGAATTCAAATGAAATATTTTTCCATGATTAATTATATCATAGAGCAAACATAGATGTAGACACATCGAATTCTCTTTTCCAATAAATCATTACTGACAAAGTTGTACAGATGAAAAATAAATCACAAGGCAAGGGGTTACCATAATTCAACCTTATTCCAACAACTTAGTATCTACCATCTTTCATCCCAACATTTCAACACACAAACTACGGTTAATATATTTTTCATACGTTTTTACAGTTATAATTATACTTTACCATTGTAATATTACTCTGTTATAAATTATATTGTACAAGACAACTCATACTTGGTTTATTCCCTACAAATCAGTCTCCTCAAATTCGAGGTTACCTCCAAGACAGAAAAGGTCATCTGGCAAGAGTCAGCGACTACCCTGACTCACCAGATCATTTACAGAGTTAACCAAGCTTATTCTAATAAGCTTATTTTTATTCTACAGTAAATTATAATAATTAAATGAACATAATTACATTGTAACGTCCGGAAGCATTCACAGTTGGTTTATTCCTCACGAATCTCCAGTCTCCTTTGAAATCCGAGGTTATCCGGCGAGAGTCAGCGAGCACCGTGATTCACCAGATCATTTGCAGAGTTAACCAAGCCTGCGACATGATTTACCGGCATCCATAATGCATGCCGTCCCTTCGGTGGACATAATTGTATACGATATTACCCGGGGGAGCACGGTTCTTCCCGGTAACAAGGCATACCATCAATTCGAAGGAGGGACCCCATAAAGCATCCTCCGCGTGCTCCTGTGGTATCCCTGTGTACCGCGAGATCGAGCCTCCTTCCACTCCAGTTATTTTACGGACTTATCCATGGAAAATACAGCTGTTTCATGCCCAATTACAGCGCCACCTGCTATTTTTATTCGTCCAACGTTTCCCATTGTGACGTTTGCTGCATGACCACATGTAGTTTGGTTCTTGATGTATGTGAAGTTGCCTAAGGGAATTTCATGTCTTTAGAGTATGAAATATGTATCTTATGGTGTAGTGTTTTCATTTGTTTATGCAACTAGCATATGATTGTGGATATTTGTTTATCGTATGTAGTGTAAGTGCTGAGTACCTTTCTGTTGTGTATTACGCTGATACAATTAGTGACTTACGCTCTTGTCTTTTAGTTTTTTTTAATATATCAGTTATTGTATGATGTTTCCATTGGAGACTAGATTTTATATGTTTATAAAGTATTCGCAGAATTGGGAATTTGTCCTGTTTACCTGTTGAAAGTTTGCGTTAAGTTTCTGAATAAGTTGAGAGTTGAGAGGAATTAGTGGCTTACGCTCTTGTCTTTTAGTATTTTGATATATTTATCAGTTATATGTTTCCATTGGAGACCAGATTTTATAAATTTATAAAGTATTCGCAGAATTGGGAATTTGTCCTGTTTACCTGTAGAAAGTTTACATTAAGTTTCTGAATAAGTTGAGGTAGATGAATAAATTACTTAACTGAGTTAGTAGATTTCTGAATTTTAATATTCAGTCTTGTTCTCAACTGGAAACGTCGAGACCTGTTTCACCATCTGTTAAACTAATTTTCTATTGGTAGTTGAGTACTTGCATACTTAATCAGTTGCAGAATTTCATTCAGTTAAAAGACACTGAGGGAATTAAGAGACACTAGTAACGATAAAAGTAACAATTGTATTATTATTATATTATATTAAAGATTAGTTGTAAAAATTAAGTATTTACTATGAAAGGAGTACACAGGAAAAATGATTTTAACAGTTTGTGAACTGTTCAGTAGTATAAGAACGCATTTGGTCAGCCAAGTAGTATAAAGTCACCCCTTTTTATTTCCTTCTTAAAACTAGGGGTTGAATAGGTTCCAGAAATAACTGTTCGGAACTGTTATATATTGGTTCTGAGTGAACCTGTTATAGAAAACAGGAATAATGTCATAACTGTTGTTAATTGTTATTAAGAAATAATAATTGTAGCACCAATATACAAGTTTTGCACTTGAAATTCACCCTTTTACAAATGAGGTACTTCTACATGTATATTTCATTGAAAAACATCAAATGTTAATTAGTTAGTAACAAATAAAACATTTAATTACAAACAGCTGTATTACATATTTATCTAAAAGACAACTAAAACCATCACAAGCCAAATAATTTTCCCATGACATACATTTAATATCCTTGTTGCTTATTTTTGCTTCAGTTTATATATATTAATATTCGATTTTTAATTAATTAAAATCTAACTAAACTACAACTTTCAATAAATTATAAACTAATTAAACTATAACTTTCAATGAACTAAAATCTCTCAACTAAATTATAATTTGCAATAAATTAAAGTCTAACTAAACTACAATTTGCAATAAATTAAAATCCAGCTAAACTACAATTTGCAATAAATTACAATCTAACTAAACTACAATTTTCAATAAATTAAAATCTAACTAAATTACAATTTTCAATAAACTAAAA